GTTGCCGAATGTTTTTCCCTTATTCCATACTTGCTTTATTCTTCATAAGTGCTTAGCACCATATAAGGAAATTTATAAAGATCTTTTAACTAGAAGCAAGCAATCTAAAATTACATACTTTTTGCAAGAGGTAAAGCATGGGTCTGAAGATAATGCAGAAAAATGCTCAGAGGATAAGGATAACTTGCCAAAAAGAAAAATCTTTCGGTTAATTAATAGTGCTTTTAGTGATGACGAAGAAAACATTGTTTAATTTATATTAATATGTATCACTTAAGAAAATTTTAATAAAGAAATCTATCTTAATTATGAAAATATAATAGCATGTTTTTAATTTTTGGAACCTAACCCTCCTTTTCATATTAGTTCTTTGTTTCGTATAACATGGATTCGCATAACACGGCAATTTTTTGGAACATACCTACCGTGTTATACGGGGGTTACCTGTACTCATTATCTGAATGAATTTGAATTATAAGAGAAATTTTCATTGTCATTGTAAAGTCAAAAATTATCTGCACTCTGATTATATGAAATGTCTGATGGCAACGCTGACATTTTTAATGCTTGTTGCATGAAGGTGCTGTTTCTCCTGTCATCACTGTGCAGGTTTGCACTTGCAATGTCAGTTTCCTTGTGACTGCAGTGTGGGAAACAATGTCAGCCCCACTTGTTATTTGCACCAAAGACGAGCAGCATGCAGTGATTCACTTTTTGTGGTCTGAATGTGTCTGGTGCCGATATTTATTTATAACTTTGTGCACAGTATGGCAAAAGCACTTTGTTGTGAAGAAGTGTGTTTGAATGGATACAGAAGTTCAAAGAAGGCCACATGAGTGTTAGCTATGGAGGTGCCGGATGCCCGTCCATGGCCATGAATGATAACACTATTGAGCATGCATGTGAACTGATTCTGGCAGATAGACAGTTAATGGTTGATTATGTGGCAAACCATTTGCACATCAGCCTATGCTATAATCCACAACCAACTTGGGTTTCGAAACCTGTTGCAAGATGGGTACCGAAAGAACTTATAGATGAACACAAACAGTATACTGTAAATACATGCATGCATACATTAAAAATCTTAAACAAAACATATAAAAAAATTAATTTGAGAAAAGTTTAAACAGTATAAGTATTATTAAACATTGAATTAATTTTTTCATGAACAACACAAAGATTCCATTGCCATTTAATTAATTTATTATACTAAATTTGATGTTTAAATTTATTTTAATGTTTTATATTACAACTTTAGCAGAGAATCCAGTTTTGAAAAGATTAAACTTAAGTTGGAATGATATATATGGAAGTGGAGCTATTCGCCTGATGTTGGGGTTAAAAGTTAATAACTTTTCTTTATTATTAAATTGTGTTAAGATGAATTTGAAGTAAAATAATATTTCTATGTAATACTAAAATATATTATCTCATATTTTCAATATCTTCATTGAAAATATATAGTACTTATGATATTGACTGTCTAATGAAAAAAATATAAATTAAACCAAATTAAACTATTTTTTATTTAAAACATAGTGTGTTTGTACATATGTTATCAATGTGAAAAAATCTGGGAAATGTTAACTTTATCCAAGTCAGAAGGATGAACATCAAAATAAGGAGAAAATCATTTAATTTTCAACTTTATCCTGATAACTGTGACATTACCCACCAAGGTTTGGATAATGTTAAATAACAATTGCAAAATTAAACACACAATCATAGAAAGAGATACAACTATTTTAAGTCAAAAAAATTAAAAGAATTGATTAAATTATCATCATTAAAATTACAATCATCAATTTAAAAACTCAAATCAAATTATTATTAGCAATTACTTCATTTAATGTCAAAAACTTAACATTGAATGAAAAAAAAAGTCTGCATTAAATGTTACTGTACCTATACTTAATTTTGCAATCAAGACTTGAATGACACTTGCTATTGCAAAAGATCCCTGAAACTCTGCACTTTAACTTTTTTCTTCACACTTAGTCTTGCAAAAGCATTTCTTGAATCCCTGACTTCAAGAAAATAATTGTATATAACTAATTTCTCAAAAGATCTTTCTTTATTTCTAATTTTATTGAGAGATACCAGTTTTTCAACACACTTTTTCTTACATAAGCTTAAATTATCCCATATTTATTTGCAATTTTACTATTTTTTATAGAAACCATCATGCAAAATGTTTCTAGGATTTAAAAATCTCACAATGTAACATTATCCAAGTACTATAGACCAGGGGTGGCCAACAAGTCGATCGCAAAGCAAATTTTGGTCAATCACTTGCGATGTCTTTAATTAATGTGTTACACTTGTAACCTAATGTAATGCGCAAATGCAACTGTAGTAATATTGGACCACCGCATCCTCCCTCAGATGCAGTTTTGTCAGTCCATGTGCAATCCATTTGCGTACAGTTGTAAACGGGGAATAAGAAATGTAGACAAAGGATCGTAAAACCGAAAAAAAGAAAGGCGGGAAGAGGGACAGAGAGAGTGGTCGGGAAAGAAAAGGTCGAGACCCTTTCTTTCTACAGGGTGCCCAAAAGTGACAACGTTGAGTTTCAATTTTTCTCTGTTTAAAATGTAAGTACCTTTTCTTCATGTTTTAAATTAAATTGTGGCTTTTCTTATCTATGTAAAAAATAGTATGTATTTCACACCTTCCCCTCACCACTTAGACTATGCCTACAACAAGTCGATTGTGACACATTTTTAAGATAAAAAGTAGATCTTATGTACACAAAAGGTGGCCACCCCTGCTATAGATAATGACATTATCAGGATAAACTTCCAAGCATGTTTTTGAATAAGGTTGACATTACTCATGTAATCTTAACATTATCCAACTGTCCATATATATATATATATGGATATATGGACAGTTGTTCATGTGTCTATATATATATATATATGGACACATGCACACTTCACTATGTCTTAAACAGTTTCAAAGAAGCCTTTTATGGTTGCAATTTTTTTCAATAAGCAGAAGTTCACAAGATGTGTATGTAAGAGAGAAAATTGTAAACATAAAAAGTTATTTGAGTAAAGACTAAAGTATTTGGATGGACTAAGAAGCAGTTTCCATAAAATCTTTAAGGTAATTTATTACATGACAATTCTACTCATACAGTTATGAAAAGAATCAAAATTTGGTCTTGTAAAGATTGTCCATAGCTTATTTATTTAATTTCAAATTTTGAGTCTATAGAAAAGTAAATGTTCAAGAATTAAGTGCTTCTCACAACATATAGCAGGATAGAAACAAGTACAGTTGACTCATAGTGTTACCAAACTCTTCATTCTATTTCTCACAAGTAATTTTGTTTTGATTATTGTGTATGTGTGTAAATGTGCAGTATTTAAATAAATACAAATATTTCTCTGCAGTCATAACAATGTCTTTTTCATCCCATCATTAGTTAAACTAGAGCCATAATCAAAGTGGTTGAATGGTGGAACCAATATATACCAATATATATATATATATATGGGTTGAATTATCCAAGAAAATTTAAGAATCCAATCCTTAATCAAATCCATAGTCTCCTAGAATAGGGATGGTGAACCTTTTTGTGTTTGTGTGCCATATTGTAAGCATACTTAGCTTTAAAGATGTTTATGCATGCCAAAGTTTCAGACTTTGAATAACGATATTTAAAGAAATTAAACGAATACGCTTTAATTAGAATAAATGTAAAAAAGCTGATTGAAAAAAGGATGATCAGGTGATAAACCGAAAAGATGATTGAAAAAGACAGAAATCATATGATACATTATGTGCCAGATGATTTCTCCTTATGTGCCACTTCGGGCACGCGTGCCATAGGTTCACCACTTGTCCTAGAACAAAAGGCCAAACTTTACCACCTCAATTTCTGGCCAGAATATTCATATATATTAAAAATTAATACACAAGACTTTACTCTCATAATTAAAATAGGCATTAAATTAACAAAATTAATATAGTGTTAAAATTGTTAATTATATTAAAATATTCAATTAGATTATTGATTAAACATTATTGTAAATATATAATTTAATAAATCTATTTTGAATAATTTTTTTGAATATTTTATAAATAGCTGATAATATTAGTAATTGCAAAATGTAATAATTGATAATACCGGTTGTTCTGCTCAGAAGTACTCAATTTGATTTGGCTATAAAAAATTAATGGTTAAAGATACAAGTTCCCTAAAGATTTTATATGAGAGAAAACTCATCACATCTTTATGTACACTTCAGCAGCCACAGTGAAATAAAGGTGGTAGACAATTCCTGCTATGTACACTGCAGCATATCCTCTTACAATAGCAATGGCTGCAATGATGTGCTCTTGAAGATTCTAAAGGTCTCTGACCAAAGTTGTATAAACCATATTTTTCACATAATCCCACAAAGAAATCTAAGGGGGTCAGATCTGGAGATCTTGATGACCATACAATTGGGCATATCAGACCATGACCAGCACCATGACTTCTGTGGCAAAGCCACGACTAAACAATAATCTCACAATTCAACTTCAGATTTTGATTTTCTGATCTGAGTTTTCCAAACAGATGCCACTTGTTACTTTTATATATCTTAAACCACTCATTTTTTTATGGTGAATTAAAATTGGATACTTTTAAGTGAAACACCCTGTATAAAACTGAACACAATGTTTTAAGTTAAACATTAATATATACTTTAAATTTAAAAATAACTGTTTGTTTAATTATATTTCGTGAATTTTATAATAAATGTTAAGTAGTAACAAAATTTATTAAACAAGATTTCTCAAACAAAATTAATTGTCAAAAAAACAGAAGTTAACCAATAGCCAATCATTTTACTTTAAATATGTACCTTAAATGTTCATTGGTTAATGGTTAACTTATGACTAACTCAATTGTCATTAGAGACAAGAGACCTGTCATTTAATTTTACATAATTCCTTAAAGATGAAAGATCCAAGTACAAACTTCTTCAACACAGGAGTTTACATTTGTTTCATTTTCAACAGGAAATTTGTTGCTGAGAAATCTAGTAGACGTTCTGATAGAATTATTAAGTTTAATTTCAAGAATATCTGATATATACATATGTGATTTATTATATTACATATGAATAAATCATCATTATTTAATTCCATCATCTAAATCAGGCCTGGCCCATCAAAATTGTTCTGTGAGCCACAGTTAGAAAAGAATAAAAAGTATTTCTACTAGATTTAGTACAGAATCTACCATCTTAGTGACACAGGATATATCATTTGCTTTTTATATTAATATACCATTCCTTGTCAGAAACTCTTCATATTGCCAACATTAAGATGCTGCATGGCAAGTCACTATAAGTAATATATTTCTCTGGGGCAATAATTATATTTAAAGCTTCATAAAGGTGGTTATATGCACTGAAATCTAGACTGTTCATTGAAGTTATGTATTCTAATCGTATGAAATAAGTATTACATGTGCATATGTGTTTAAACATAGTGTGAGTAAGAATAATTGGTGAACCATGGGTTGGCCAGGCTTAATTTAAATCATAATAAAAAGTTTTTGCACATTTTTTCTTCAGCAAAATACAAAACTGGAAGTTCTTCATCTTAAACACAATAGATTTAATGATGATGTGGCACAGTCAATCAGAGAAATGCTTGCTGCAAATAAAACATTGCAAGAACTTGATCTGTCATTTAATTGTATTAATGGCAAAGGAGCAAAACTGATAGCTAAGAGTCTTGCAAGAAACAACTCTCTCCAAATATTTAAAGTAAAATATTATTTTCTTATTTTTGGTTTCATTTATTTTATTTATTTATTTATTTAAATTTTAAAAAGCTGGCATATAATCCTCTTGATACTACATCAGCTTTGTCAATTCTAAAAGCAGGCTCCAAAACTTTAAAAGAATTGGATTTAGAGGTATAAAATTATATTTATATATNATTGTACTGTACGTACTAATAACCTTCAGTTATATTACATGATACTTCTGATTAAGATCAACAAAAAAGCTTGTAAGATGATGATACTTTGTAAAAAGAAAATTCCCTCATTTAACTAAAATTAATATTAAGGCACAATATAGTACTTTTAATTGTGATTGTTAATTATTGATTAGAAATAAATTATCAGTTGCTTTAATAAAATATTTCTCTAAGCAAAAGTATACTATTCTTTTTCATTACTAACTTCTGGAACCTAACCCCACGTTTTGCATTAGTCCTTTGTTTTACACACAGAATTTTTTTTGAATTAACTACCATGTTATACAAGGAATACCTGTACATGGAAAATACGTAATAATAATTACAAATGAAAAAAAAATGTTTTTATTGATTTTCAACAATTATATTTATTTTCAGGATGGTAACTGTGGTGTGTCTAAAGTATTCCTAAACAAATTATATGATTGAAACCAATTTCTATTTGTATTCTAATAGAATATTTAAACATAAAAAACAACAAAAATTTTAATTGATGTTCTACTGAATTTTATTGGAACAAACAAACCAACCAAAAAAATAGCATAACAAAATTTCATAACATATACAAAATGTCTTATTTGAAATTCTACTTTTATTTTGCCATCCTACATTTAAATAAAAATTAGATTTGAACTTATGGGTGTTCGTACTTGATTGTACTGTACATGTGTCCCATTCTAAAACTTCATGTTCATATAATTAAAATGTAATTTGAAGCAATATCATAAGATTGATGTAAGTTGTCCTTTTGGCAAAATTATAGTCAATTGCTACAGATAGAATACCATCTTTAAAATAAACTAAGACCATTAATATATTATAACTCCATAGACTTTAATTTTTGTGTAAATGATGTTTATCTAAAACTTTAATATTTAAAATGATAGCAATTTAATTTAGAGAGAAATTTTTAACAGCAAAATTTCAGAGAGTATTAGTATAGGTGCAGCCACAATTTTACGAAAATACAAAAGAGAATAAATGAGAAATAGCTAATCTTAAGGAAACTTAAACAGAAAATAATAACTGTAAATACAGTATATCCTTATGTCAGACCATTAAGTTTTGGATTATCACCAGTGTATTTGCCAAGAGCTGTTGTTTCCACGAAAATGTTAGTCATGTCACAGATCCTGCTTTCCTGTTTACTTGAGTTTCATTTCTGTGTACAGTCAGCAAAACACTCACTTGCCTGCCTGTGTTCAAAAGAATTAGTGCCAAAGAACAACAGGCCACATCATTGCTTTCAGGTAGTCTTTAGGCCTATAAATATTCAGTAATCAGGCATTCTTGCTAATTTAGCACTCCTATGCTAAATTAGCAAGAATGCCTGATTACTGAATATTTTTATTACATACAGAATTGACTATGGTTTCATACTATTTAAATGGAAATTTTACCCCAATGGAGTCTATTGAACCAATATTTTATCGAGTCTCAATTACTAAAGAAAATTATTTAATCATAGATTAAAAGATATAGTAATGCATCAATTTTTACTGAAGTTCCTTTAACCTGGCATTGCAGAAACAGAGAAAGACCAAGATGACATGACAATGCTAGGTAAAACCAATTATGCATGATTTTTCCAAAGACATTAGTACAAGGGTTTGATATGAGAAGAGAAATATTTATGATACTTGGAATCAATACAATGCTATTAAAATTCTTTGATAATTTTGAGTGCATCTGTATTTATATGCAATAAAAGTGTACAAAGCACAAAGTAAGAACAGTGTTCTTGTTTCAAGCCAACCAAGGTTAGGAATACTGGGAAAAATTGAAATGGAACATTAAACAATCATAAAAGGCAAGTTTGTACAATTTTACATGCGAAAGATATATAAAATTGTGTCCAGGGAATTGAAAAAATCGGAAAAACATTCATTGTCCGATAAAGTAGCATATTCAATAAACTGACATCACTTAAGTCCTGACACTGCAAAGTTAATAGAATTTCACTGTATATTAATATTTTGTTATCTACTAAAACTGCTTCAACTGACTAATTGAATAGTTTATTGTGTATTTTTAAAAAAATAATCTTTTTTTAAAAATACATTAGTTTTAGTATATATAATTGCAATTATACCATAAACAGTTTATTATTTATAACACTAATAACTGATTATGATAATATAAATTACAGATCATCCTTTAGAAATAATCAGAGAATTATTACAAGATAAAATAGATATCAGAGAAATCCTAATCTGGAGCCAAAAATCTGTGGATAGAGAAAGTTTTATTCAACTCTTCATGGTAAAATATACAGGTATATACTCCTTGTACAACATGGTACTTCTACAACACAAATCCTCTGTACAAAATTTCACAATTTTGGTGTAAACTTCATTATTTGATATTTTTTTTTAAATTGAAGTAAGCATGCATGTCATCTCAAATTTGCCCTTAGATTTACAATATTGAAATTTTCAAATTATTTTGAGGCTTTTGTCAGGTTTATTTTAATGAAAACTAATCATGCAGTTTTTTTTTCCCGTGTCCTAACTTTCCTATCAACCAGGTGTCATCATCATTGCTTTTAGACTTTAGCAAATTAAGACTGTCACTGTGTTTTCTTCTTATAGATCTTCATATATAGTAAAGTTTATTTAAAGATTATACAAACATTTTTAGATAAGTGCTATTAAACTTTTTTTTAAACTGTAGGTAGCAATCATTCATAAAATTGATGAACAAAATATGGCGGTATCTTGGTACTCGAACACAAATACTAGAAAAAAGTTGCTTGGTACTCGACTGAACAAACATAACCCACTAAAACAAATTTTCAATTAATAACATATTTTTATTTTGTCATCCATAAAGCATTTTTTATGATAAAAATATGAAAACGTTACTGATATGTAAGTATCATCTGTTACTCGAAAGAACTTCCCATTAATTTCGTTTCTCCCCATCAGAAATTCTGAGAACTTTGATCATGATGGGGAAGAAATGTCTTGGTCCAGAGGTAGAGGAGAAAAAGGTTCTCACCTTTTGCCCTAGACATGGTGTTGACCAGAAGTAAAATTCATCTGCTCTTGTGTTTAGTTCTATTATTGTACTGTACGTACTAATAACCTTCAGTTATATTACATGATACTTCTGATTAAGATCAACAAAAAAGCTTGTAAGATGATGATACTTTGTAAAAAGAAAATTCCCTCATTTAACTAAAATTAATATTAAGGCACAATATAGTACTTTTAATTGTGATTGTTAATTATTGATTAGAAATAAATTATCAGTTGCTTTAATAAAATATTTCTCTAAGCAAAAGTATACTATTCTTTTTCATTACTAACTTCTGGAACCTAACCGCACGTTTTGCATTAGTCCTTTGTTTTACACACAGAATTTTTTTTGAATTAACTACCATGTTATACAAGGAATACCTGTACATGGAAAATACGTAATAATAATTACAAATGAAAAATAAATGTTTTTATTGATTTTCAACAATTATATTTATTTTCAGGATGGTAACTGTGGTGTGTCTAAAGTATTCCTAAACAAATTATATGACAATTTATCACAAGGAGAAAACTATATTAATATTGAGTATAATGATTATATTGTTTATATTTGAATTTAAAATTTATTCTTATTCTAATATATATACACAACATTAATTTGTTTATTTGTTTTAAACATGTAAGGTAATGCCAAATAACAGTCTGTAAAAACTCCATAAAAAATATTAATCCTAAATATAATTAAATTTTTCTCTCATTAGTGTTTACTCAAAGATGGACAATTCAGGCATTTCATTTACTGATTTTTCAATGCAAAGCATTAGAATATTAAGGCAATATAACACTGATTACAATTTTACTCATTAAGAACAACCCTGACAGAACAAATTTTGGTAAATGTAAATAAGTGAAAGATAAAAAATGATGCCCCCCACCTCTACTACTGATTATAAATTAAGAATCATTCAAATCCAAATCTCTTTTAGAATAAACAACTGACATCTTACCATATGGCAAGATACTAGCCAGAAATTCACTCTTAAATTTATGAATCCACTTAGACAATAAATTATCTCTCCATAAGCTGATATAGTCTAAAATGTTTGTCATTAATGATACAAAATCTGTAATTTGCATCCTTTCCGTTGAAATGAAGTGTAAAAGTTTATTGAGAATAATCTTTATATATCAAAATATTGTAAATAAAATTAAATAATAACAAAATACAACATAAAATTTAAATATTTTCATTATAATAAGTACAATTTTAGGAAAAATAAAAATTACTTAGTTTACAATAGCAAAACATTATCAAAATAGAATGCTGTAAATTGGAATACAAACATTTACAAATGTATGTGAAATTATTCAAGTTATTCACTTTAATATTTATCCAGGTGAAAAAATATCTGTTTAGCACTGTACAATAATATACGTGATCTTTGGTGTATCAGTTTCACTACAGTATTTACAGTACAATAAATTAATTCATCCAAAAGAAACATGTATAAAACATGCAAAAGTTCTGCAAGATACATAAATTTTCCAATCAAAAACAAAATGTAAATTAAAAATGCAATGCTCACAAATTGTGATGACATACAATACCAATGTCCTCATAAAATAGCAAACATTATACAATCTGTTAATTGATAGGGCACTGTGGTAATGAATTACACTTACAAACACTACTGTGAAATGATTATACCTTATGGAAAATGAAACAAAATTTACAAGTAAAAATGTAATTTCACAACACTTTTCAGCTGTACCAAGATCAAGAAGACACAGAACATATACTTTAGCAAAATAAAACAAATTTTTGTATTAATTTATGCAATGCCATTTTTATCCTTTACAGTCAGATTTTTTTTGAACATTATGCTAAATGTTCTTAAACTGACTCCCTCCATCTTTGCACTTGAAACAGACTGAAAAAATTTACACATTGCTATAGTACTACTGTGTGAGTTTAAACATTGTAATAATTGTAATAATAAATAATTTTTAAACAATTTTTTTACTGTAAACATTGCAATGAAACATGCGGTACTGGAAAGATAACATTTATCCTGTGCCTGGATAAATGTCAAAATTTTATATACAGGCTGTTCATTTTTCGATATATTGTAAAATTCTAAATTGCTATAACTCAATATAAAGATATATAGAAAATAATAATTGTTTTAAAATTATTGTATATTGTAGCTAATGTTACAATGCAAATAAAGATGAACTATAAACATAAAAATGTTTATAGTTCAAGTTTATTTTAGTAACAACATATGTTATAATTAGTTAATGATGGCTTAGTACAAAATTTTAATAAGATACAGAACTATTGAAATATTTGGTATTTGTAGAGAAAGTATTGTAAAGGCATTTCTTAATAATGTATATATCTTCATAAGAAAACATTGTAAAAGTATTATGTATAATTATGTAAAAATAAGGATTTTTAAAAAATATTAATTATATAAAAAATATATGTCACAACCATTTCATAGGTGTTACACACATCTATGAAACTTCATTGTAATCTATTTGAATAATCTAAGTTAACTATTCTGCTGAATGTTTGTTTACATTAAAATATTTTTAATATCATCAAAGTAACATTTCAGACAATTCATTATGATAATTTAAGTGGAAAGTAATATAAAGATCAGTGTAAACAGTTGACATAATCTAGATTAATACAGCTAATATGTCTGTTTTAATCATACAGCATAAAGTTGCTTTAATATTATTATTATTATTATTAATATAAATTCTAATTTTTAGTTTATTCCTTCTGAAAACTTTTTAAAATAATTTCAAACAGATGTATATTTGGTTCACATTTTATATCATAATACAATAGAATTCACTCATTGGAATATCATAGATATCATTATCAATTGTTTAATCAAAATTAGCATATCCTAAAAATGAAAATTTATTATTATTTACAAGTTACACAACTTTTAACTGTTTTAATCTATCCTTTTAATGTCAGAGTCAATAAGATCAACTTTAGTCTTATTTACTTACCACACTTAGTGCTATCAATTGGTTGTCATCACACTATAACCAGCAAAGAAAGTTTCAATCAAAGTGATTACAAAAAGTAGATTCTACTATTTAACTTTCAAATTTCTTGCTTTTATGCTCTATATTATTGTAAAAGAAATATTCAAACTTTCATTAAAGTTTTCATGTGTGATATTTAAAAGTATTTTAATACTAAAGAATTGTTCTCAATCATTTTTTAAATACACAATTGAATTTTCCTTAGGAAAAGGACAAAGCAGTGTTATAATTACAAAAAATTTATTAAATTTTATTAAAAAAATTTTTCTTTTTATACTTGTAATTACTTTTAAGAAATTGNAAAATAAAATTTGTGTCAACATTCTTTTAATAATCAATCAAAATGCAATCTGGCAATTTGAAAATGTTACAACACATTGTGGATACTTATTAATGCAGCCACAATTCAATGTAGTAAAAATATCTGTGCAAAAATTTGTTACTTATATTTGCACAGATATTTTTAATACATAATTTATGTATAATTTCCACCAAAGAACTAATTCTGAAAAATGTTTATTAGTAGAAAAATATTCATCAGTGAAAATTCCTATCACAAAATGTTATAGGATTAATAGAACTATAGTACAATAAATTTAATTATTTTCTTTTATAATTCATAGTCAAGAAGAAAATTTGCTGTTAATTGTTTTGTTTATAAATCCTTGATACCTAAATATGATATCTAAATTCCTAGATACCCAAAAAAGTATTATAGATTTAAGTCAAATAAGAAATTTATTTGTAAGTCACTTTGTCAATTAATTGCAAATTTGTTTTTAATATGACAACTCCAAACAAGTTTTTATATTAATATTAATAAAAAATAATGATAAATAGAAGTTTGTCTAAGAAATTTAAGGCTAATGATTAATGAGACTAACTGTTTATTCTTAGTATAATTCTCAATGTACATTAGAATTTTATTTTATTGAAAATAATAAAGAAATATATTACTTAATTTTGCACAGACATTTTTATCACATTGCATCACAACTGTATTAATAAGCACCCACAACATGTGGCCCTTTTGACATTGCCAGATTGCATTTTGTTTGATTATTAAAAGAATCTTGACATGAATTTTGCATTTTGGTCTTATTGAATTGAGTTTACAGTTCCACATACATATGTTTGTTTATCCAGAATCATTGTGGCTAATGTCTGTGAAGTGAAAAACCCTGTCTAAAAAAACCTTGTTTTTACTGATTAACAGTTCTAATAAGGTAAGCACAACTTTCTCACCTTGCCCACCTTCAAAATTTCCATATTCTGTTGTCGCTCCTGTGTAAACTAAATATCCTGTACATGACTCACAAATTTTGAAGCTATATAATTAATAAAATGATTAATTTCTAAAAAATACAGGAAAACCTGTGTAAACTGGACTTGCACAGTACGGAATATTTTTTTCAGTTTGGCAGGTTTCTGTTTTATTAAGGTTCCATTTTGAACAGGTTTTACTGTATATAAAAACAATTTTTCATATGCATTTAAAAAATTTCTTATTCTCTATTTTTTATATTTTACAGTAATATTGCAATTGCTCTAATTAAAATTTGTGCATGGTAATATAAATACTATATAAAATTATAATCCACTGTAACTATGGATCATCATCATATGTTATAAATTAATCAAATCAAATGTTTTAATTCCACTTTTAAATTTTATACAATTCCATCCTGAAAATAATATTGATTGAGATTATAATATATTCTTTCTCAAGGGCCTCAGATAATTATTAGAATATTAGATTATTATTAGATAATAGAAATTACAATATTAGATAATTATGTTTATAATCGTTTTTAAATGGAATTAACATTATTTATTTATATATATAAAAATTTAATCATTTCCAATTGTATATCTTTCCATTTTCAGAAAAAAAAATTTCAATTTGTAGGCTTTTTTAACAACAATAATCATTTTTAAGAATATTTGAACAATTTTTAAACTTTGCCTTTCAACAGAAAGATAAATCCATCCAGCAAAATAAAATTTGTTCTAATGCAAACATGTTAATTTCTATTAATTAACGTACTTACAAATATTCATTTGCTTGTTAAAAAAGCAAATAAATTTTTAAAATTAACATATACACACTTTAACATGTAATATATTTGTTGCATGCGCTCCTAACAAAAAAGTTACACACCCACATAAAACTGATTATTGAAAAAGTTGACATACAGCTGCCTCAGACAGGCATGTAAATGATTACAGTTATGGTCCAATTGCATGCTAGTTAATGCCACCAGAATACCTTAAAATTGCTACCTCAGTATCTTATGAAAAGGCTTGCAGAGGCTCACAATCTTCAGAATGTTCAATGTATGTATTTTTTTTTGGCAATGTTTGAATGATAGATATGCCTATATCATGCAGTCAAAAACTCAGCTGACAGAGTTTCAGAAAGGTTGTAACATCAGACTGAGGGAAGCAAGATAGTCATTAACCAAAATGCCAGCCATCAAAGCTGTTCTGATCTAACTGTAATGAGGTGTTGGGTCAGTGGATAAATCAGGGAACACAAACATAGCAAACAGGATCCAGACACTTCAGAGAGAACACTAGGATGAAATAAGCACAAACAACTGCAATGACATCTTCTCACTATCTGGAGACACATGGAAGCCTTGCTACAAAACCTTGTCACTTTCTATAACATTTGCATGCACAAACACTGCTATGGATCATGCATACCAACATTGTTGGCTTAGTTTGCAGTGGTCCATGACAGAGAAGAATGGTCTATTATGGATTACCAATGTATTGTTTTTAATGGCAAATCCCAATTCTGTCTGGGAAAAAATGAACACTGTTTTAGTTCATGGATTAAAGCACAAATATTTCAATCCTGTCTTTACTATTGAATGACATTGGGTAAATACTTGATACCCATAGCTGGAATGCTGGTCTGGAGAGCCATCTAATTTAACAGTCAATCCTCTAGTAGTGATGCAAAGGACACTGATGACACTGTGGCATGTTCAGGAAATCCTGCACCCCACAAGTTGCCTTTCAGGGCTGTAAATAGCCATATTCCAGCAAGATAATGCTCAGCTACACACAGAGTTTCCCAAGAATGTCTCAGTCATATTGCTACACTTCTTTGGTTTGCCTAGTCTCCGGATTTGTCATACATCACACATTTGTGGGACCAGATGGAATCCAGCTTCAGTCATCTATGAGTATGAAGTATTTGGAGTGGCAGTTGAAACATCTATTATAGAACAGATATATGCCATGAATGTCTCCATGTCTCCATTGCAATAAGATCTTATTGCAATATGATCCAGTCAAGAGGAGGTCCTATAAGATATTAAAGGTCCCATTGTTCCACTGAAAATTGTTTCTTTGCTTCAATATTATAATTGCTTATTACCATTGTCATTATGTTTGCACTAATAAAGTTTCATTTGATTCCTATGCCTCCTTCAAGGTGTATAACTTTTAAAATATATCTGTTAGGATCAATAACTGAAAATGCTCATTGTTAAAGAAAATCAACCACCATGTGTTCTGATTTCTCAGATCTAGCCACAATGCAAAATTTGTGTTGTGACACTTTCAAAAATGCACTTAATGTATTTTGACATATTTAATAAGACTACAAAATAAAATTTGTGTCAACATTCTTTTAATAATCAATCAAAATGCAATCTGGCAATTTGAAAATGTTACAACACATTGTGGATACTTATTAATGCAGCCACAATTCAATGTAGTAAAAATATCTGTGCAAAAATTTGTTACTTATATTTGCACAGATATTTTTAATACATAATTTATGTATAATTTCCACCAAAGAACTAATTCTGAAAAATGTTTATTAGTAGAAAAATATTCATCAGTGAAAATTCCTATCACAAAATGTTATAGGATTAATAGAACTATAGTACAATAAATTTAATTATTTTCTTTTATAATTCATAGTCAAGAAGAAAATTTGCTGTTAATTGTTTTGTTTATAAATCCTTGATACCTAAATATGATATCTAAATTCCTAGATACCCAAAAAAGTATTATAGATTTAAGTCAAATAAGAAATTTATTTGTAAGTCACTTTGTCAATTAATTGCAAATTTGTTTTTAATATGACAACTCCAAACAAGTTTTTATATTAATATTAATAAAAAATAATGATAAATAGAAGTTTGTCTAAGAAATTTAAGGCTAATGATTAATGAGACTAACTGTTTATTCTTAGTATAATTCTCAATGTACATTAGAATTTTATTTTATTGAAAATAATAAAGAAATATATTACTTAATTTTGCACAGACATTTTTATCACATTGCATCACAACTGTATTAATAAGCACCCACAACATGTGGCCCTTTTGACATTGCCAGATTGCATTTTGTTTGATTATTAAAAGAATCTTGACATGAATTTTGCATTTTGGTCTTATTGAATTGAGTTTACAGTTCCACATACATATGTTTGTTTATCCAGAATCATTGTGGCTAATGTCTGTGAAGTGAAAAACCCTGTCTAAAAAAACCTTGTTTTTACTGATTAACAGTTCTAATAAGGTAAGCACAACTTTCTCACCTTGCCCACCTTCAAAATTTCCATATTCTGTTGTCGCTCCTGTGTAAACTAAATATCCTGTACATGACTCACAAATTTTGAAGCTTTTTACTCCAAAACAAACACGCTTGCTCAGAATGTACTGTCTGCCTTTTCATAACATAAAACTTTCATCTACACACACATTTTCATATGGAATATAAGCATATTTAAATTTGTGGCAAAAATGATCACTAACACTGCGTAATTTATGCAGTTTATCATCACCACCTGAGGCTTTATTATTGTCTGTAAAATGCAAACATGAAACATAAAGCAGAAAGTGGTTGCTCAACATTGCACTCAAAAAAAAGTGTAGAGAAAAGATCTNGGGATATAAATTCAGAACACAGTTTACCGAAACCGACACTTTTACTTACTGTTAGATACACAAAAAAAAAAAAAAAAAAAAAATGTAGAAAAAAGATCTTCCTTTTTAAATTACATACTTAGGCACAGTTTTCTAATGATACTTGTGACCATAATAAGTCCTCTGAATTCTCTAATTTCTGGATTTGTTGTTGGCTTCCAGTTTTTTATACGACTATTTTTCCATAAATTGTCACATTTCATCAAACTATCACCATACCTATTCATTTCTTCAACAATCTTGTCCACAAGTTCATCTCAAAAAAATACACTAAAGCAGTCAAATGGTATAGCATCACTCTGTAAATTACATTTGATTCCTGCTTGTCCTGTAAAATCGTTGACTTGAGGTCTTGTAAAGTTTGTACAGATCCAACCATCACTACTAAAATGCGGGTTTCACACTGTCATTTCCTCAAGCATGACATGTGATTGGTCTCTGTATCCACTAGTAGTTGGTATTTCGTGGTCAATATCACTATTACCATCACTTACAGTTTCATTTTGCATATAATTGACGTTACTGTCTAATAATTCAGACTCATCCAAACCTAAATTAAATAAACATTCAATCATTTCTGACTTATTCAGAGCACTATTTCTCCCAGCCATTGGACACAGGATAGGTAAAACTTCAAGGAGACAAGATGGGACTCTTGCTTTCATCATAGATAACACTAAAATCAGTGAAAAATGGAGGTAAAGTTCATTTTTTATTTTAATTGTAAACAGAATATGCAATAAAAAATGGGAGTTCTCATTTAAGAAAATGAGGTTTACCCCATTACCACTGATTCTAGCACCATCTATGATGAAACCCTTAGTCCCATCTTATAGCCCCCTTGAAGTCTAACATTTATGTTTTAATGATTTTCTATAGGATGCATATTTTTGAGTTATTCCACTGGATTGATTAAAATGATCCACCTACATATAATTCTGCAAATTTAATCACCTCATATACAGTCGACCCCCCTATAACGTACGTTCCTATAACGACAATTCCTATAACGTAGCGAAAAAATTGTAGAAACTTTCGTATAAAGTACCTCCTATAACGTCGTTTCGCGACAAGATTGATAGAGTCTGGACCAATAGTGGATGAGCAGCCGAACTACTTACCTCCGACCCTGCGCCACGCTACGGAGCGGCTAAATTGAGTTTGCTATCGTCTGTTTAGTATTATATATAAATTAGGTACTGTACATATAATTATATATTAATTATATATAAATTAGGTACTGTATATATAATTATATATTAACTTAATTTATTGTAACTTTATTATAATTATATATATGCTTTCTGCCGCCTGGCAACACGCTACGGAGATTTTAGGCTAGTAAGTTGAGTTTATTATCGTCTG